TGTTTGCCTAGGGTATTGAAGTAGTCCATAAACTGTGCTTAGGTTATTGTGAAATGGGGAGGACAGCCGCTAGAGTTATATTTTGAATCTCCTTTTGTAGATTTATAGAAGTGGCTTGAAAATATTACGTTGCGAACTCATTGTGGAAGTGATGCTTTATGCGTTTTCTGATAAAAATTCCGATGCCTCCAAGTGCTTTTCCGTCAGGATGACTGGTACTGTAGAACAAGTACCAACTTTTTTGGAAATTATATTTGTTTGTAAGGTGTGTTTCAGAAAGGAGCATGACGTCGATTTCGTTATCATTAATAAATTGAGGTACCTCAAGTTTGTTCCGTGGAACTCCGTTAGCATTCCACAGTGCTATAGGAGTGTGCCGAAAAGAAACTGCACACTTTGTTTCAAGTATAACTTTAATGTTTTTATTTCGATTTGACTATTTTTTATTAATGTTTAATTATTAAAATTTAATTTCAAAAAAATATTACAGAAATGTTGCGCCTTTTATTTTTGATCAAATTTTTTGTTTAACACCGCTCACTGCACACACTCTTTTGAACCATTTTGGTTGCACGTATCCAGTTTTTCTTCATGTCCTGCCCGTTTTTTGAGGTTCTGTCATCCTTTCGTAAATTGCGTTGCACTATTGCCCAATATCTTTCTATTGGGCGAAGTTCTGGGCAATTTGGTGGGTTCTCCTCTTTTAATGCAAAATTTGTGTCTTTTGAGTCAAACAACGCTATGGTGGAACGAGCATAGTGTGCTGACGCTAGATCAGGCCAAAATATAGTATTGTTTCTTATGAAATGGTATCAGACGCTTTTTTAAGCACTCTCTCATATAAACATCAGCGTTTATTGTTCCTTTCGTGAAGAAAGAGTTGGTTCTTAAACCACAGGTGCAAATGGCCTGCTATATCAGTACCTTCTCGCCAAATTTTTCGCAGTGAATTTTGGACACCAATGCCATCCACCATCTACCATCCGTTGTACGGAAGGTCCTTAAGGTTTTGACGTTCCGATAATTCCCAGTTAGTTCCCCATCCGACGAACTTTTTTATGCGATAGTTAGGTGATGTTTTTTCGGTGCAACTCTGAGTTCTTCTTCTTGACAGTGAAAATAGAAACATTCACTACGAAAATTTAAAAAAATAATGGCGGGTAACTTTATAAAAAGGATGCCGAAAAATCAAAAATGCTCCATCCGATACTCCAACTTCTTTAACCCGTCTGAAAAATACGTTTTCTCGAGGTCTGCAAAATAGGCCTCTGTGGCGGCGACGACCTCCTCATTCGACGAAAATTTCTGTCCAGCGAGTGACTTTTTCAAGTTTTGAAACAAAAAGAAGTAACACAGGTCCAAATCTGGAGAATATGGTGGATGGGGTAGCAGTTCGTAGCCCAATTCGATCAATTTGGCCTTGGCGGGGGCGGAAGTGTGAGCCGGTGCGTTGTCATGATGGAAGAACACTTTTTTCTTCGCCAAATGGGGCCGGTGAGCAAACGCGGCACACATTGCGCCGACAGCTTTCTCATGCCCAAAATTTCATGCAGGATATCACCCACGCGGTCTTTTGACATGCCTACTATCTCAGCTATCTCGCGTATCATCAATCGGCGGTCTGCCAATACGAGATCGTGGGTTTTTGTCACGTTATCCTCCGTGGTAGCCGTTTTCGGGGCACCTGTACGTGGCTCATCAAAATCCGACGTGCGACCACGTTAAGACTCGTTAAACCAATTTTTGACGGTCGCCATCGAAGGAGAAGAGTCACCGCACACAGCATCCAAGCGCTCTTTGATTTCGCTGCGCGATTTTCCTTCCAAAACATTTTTCTAAAATCCGCGGACACGTCCGATTCCACTCGCAAAACAAAACTACGAGTCCGATTCGATTGAAATCGACAGTAGACGTTTGTATTACACGATAGTAAATTTCTCTTGCGATAGTGACGCCATCGGGCAGTAAGGCTAAGTACTTATCCGACTGCCCTCGTATTTGCCGCAATTTTTTTTTTGAAACTTTTTGTTTTTTATATGTTTTTAAGTTATGACGCCGTATTATTTTTTGTACCATTCTTCAACTTGTTTGTGCTTTTTTTTGCCAAATCTCGAACAGACATTTCATTATGTTTGTGTATTAAGGCCAATACTTTTTTTTATCAAAAAATTCAACCCCCCCCCCAAACTTTATTATAATGTTTTTAACACTATTAACACTAACTTTATAGCGTGTAGCTAATTGTCTGAACGACACACCTTTTTCGGTGCAGTAATTGTGCATAATATTTTTGCGAACTTGCTCTTAGATTTGGGGCATTGACGAAACTAAAGGATGGATAGTCACAAAAAAATAGAGTATGTAAACAACGTAGAATTTATGAAGCTTGCAAACGGTACATTTCCCAGCACGGTCGAAAGATCGCTCTTCGAGAAATTTTCGCTAAAAAGTGTGCAGTTTATTTTCGGTACATTCCTTAAGCAGGGAAGCCATTGATTATTTTGATAAAATGTTATGGAGCAACTGAATCAATATATCTTGATTTCGCATGGTCGTCTCCATAAATTTCTTGATTTCTTACATACTTTGTTGCAGGGTACGTATTTCCATTTTGGTAGCTGTCTGCTCAATAGGTTGGTAGGAGGTGATATTTCATCATTGAAGGTAGTGCCGCCAAGGTTGGATTTTGGAAGGCTCGCAAAGCTTACGTTCTTCTTACTTATGAACTACCAAATGAAGATTTCCCTGCAGTTGAAAAGAAGACGTCAGGGGACGTTGTCGAAGGTATTAATAGTGCTGTCTGGGACCGAGACACTTTGTGTTGGATTTGGCTTTTCAGCTCCTTATAAACCGAACAACCTTTATAGTTTACCATGTGGTTACGTCCACAGTTTCCATATTTTTTTGCTGCTGGGGTCGTCTTTGTTTAATTTGCATTTGGCAGAGCCATAGGGCTCGCCGCAAGCTACACATACGGGGCGAAGCTTGCAGTACAATTTCGTGTGTCCAAATTCTTCGCAATTTGGGCATTATACCGGGCCATTGCGCTTATGCGGCTCCTCGACAGGGACTCTGCGGTGAAGTAAGTACTGCAGCTTGTAGATGGGATGAAAAACGTAGAAGTTCTCATTCCCTATAAATTCCAATATAGAATTCACGAGGGAGTTAGAAGCTTTTACTCGTATAAAAATTGGAGGCGGCTTTGGCTTTCCGATTCTTTTCCGATTCAGTTTCTGTATCGGTCAGAATTGCAAATCTATTCTCTCTGCTAGTGTTTTCCACAGTAGGTTGCCTGGAGGGAACACGGCACGCCGATGTTTATATACCCTTGCAGTTGTTACAAATCTACTACATTTCGATTTCTATGCCTATATTACTAAAACAACTATTACAACAAAGCTATGTAGATTTTGCGCTGCATTTTGCTATCGTTTCAGTGGCAGCTATATAATATTGTTGTCCGATTTTTATTTAATTGAAATCGTATTTCAATAATATTTAAATAATACCAAACCCCAAAGAACAAAAAAAAATAATTAAAAACAATAAAGTTATATTTTTTTTGAATTTTTTTTCGAATTGTTCCTATGGGAGCTATATGATATAGTCGCCCGATCCGGCTCGTTCCGACTTATATACTACCTGCAATAGAAAGACAACTTTTGGGAAAGATGGACGGACAGACGGACATGGCCATATCGACTCTCCTGATGATGCTGATCAAGCATATATACTTTATAGGGTCGGAAATGTCTCCTTCACTGCGTTTCAAAAATTTTTGACTGAAATTATAATAACCTCTGCAAGGGTATACCAAAAAAGTTATAATTTTTTTGATTTTTTGTTTTCCGATTGTTTCTATGGGAGCTAGTTGCCGGATCCTCGTTCCGACATATATACAACCTGCAATAGGAAGACAACTTTTTGGAAAGTTTCAAGCAGATAGGTTTACAACTGAGAGACGAGTTTGCGTAGAAGCGGACGGACGGCAGACGGACGGGCAGACGGACGGGCGGACAGACGGACGGACATGGCTACATCGACTCTCCTGGTGATGCTGGTCAAGAATATATATACTTTATAGGGTCCGAAATGTCTCCTCCACTGCGTTGCAAACTTTTGACTTAAATTATAATACCCTCTGCAAGGGTACAAAAACAAGAAAAAATGTGTTTGTTAATATGTGCTGTTAACTGTGATCAAATAATTGTAACTGCTCAAAAACTTGTTTTTCCATTTCTATACAGAATTTTTTGGCGTGGTTCACTTTTGAAATAAAATTTCGCTTTGTAGGCATAACTCCAATCTAAATCCTCAATCCCAAATCTAATGTTTGTATTTTTCGATATCATACTTCATACAGGACAGGCAGATGAACATGGCCTTGTGCACTAGGCTATTGATCCTGATGCAGAATATAAACATACTTTATAGAGTAGATAACGCTTCCTCTTACCAGTTACGTACAGTTCATTCACAAGTTTAAGATAAAATCATTTTTATAAGCAAACAAGAGAGAACGCTATAGTCGAGTGCCTCGACCATTAGATATCCGTTACTCAGCTAAACAACTTAAGATAAATATGCCTTCTTGTATGTTTTTCGCCGCTCGAATTAGCACCTTGGCCGACTGTTCCAAAGTCATCCGTTAGATGGCGCCATGAAAGGCGGAAATGTAGGCGCTAGCCAGGCTTAAGCGTTTAATGGGTTTTTGGGCGTTAGAGTGGGCGTGGCAAACTTTTATTAGGCCAATCGATAGATATTGACGAAACAAATACATATTAATTAAAATTTTCATAATAGCATCAAAACTGTGGCCACAGCTTGTGGCTTGTGGGCGTCAGAGGGGCGTGGCACCATTTTGAAACAAACTTTTGCACAAATACAATATACCCTTTTACTCTACGAGTAACGGGTATAAAAACCTAGTCTCGAACCGTGGATAGACATTTCCTCAGTCACTAAACAACGATCCTTTTATTTTCCTAATTTTCACTTACTTGGGTCCAAAGCGCCGCTTGCATTGCATCATCAGCTCTAGTCGAGGAAGAACTTCGGTGTACGTGATCTTCTCCTTTAGGTACACTTCTAGATCCTCAATAAACTCCACTGAATCTTGACGAGGAATGCTCTTCACAATAAACACCATCTGCTGCTCCGGATGGTCGGGACGCTTGAACGATACTTTCGCTCGATATATTTGACTGCAATAGTTTTCCCCAGTGCTGCTGCCCATTCGAATATGTATGGCCAGCAATTGGACTCTTGCGGTTCGCAGTGCTGTCTCAAGCACTTCCTCAAAAAAGGCCACGTTCAGGTGACTGGGTGGAACAACCACCTCTGCATCAAACACAATGCTACACATTTCGCTATCGTCTGAAAAGTAGCAAGGGAGCGGTACTCACTTTATAAGCGTGACTGGTGCTGAATATGATCTTGCTTACTTGAGAAAAACGCCGAAAATAAATATAGTCATTTAGTTATGGTAATATTGAATTGTACTATTATTAACTTTGTGGGTATATACTTTTTTAATAGACGACAGCGAGTTGTCTAATTTTTTGAATAAAGCACGCAATACACGGAGACGTCGATTTTTGAGGCGTATTCAGCTAGTAAGTCATATTTCATGTATTTGCGATGCAGAGTCTGTTAGTTTGCTTCTTTTTTGTTGGATAGATTCAACTCGCAACGATTGACAGCTAATTATCTTATCAAGTTTTAATCCGCCTCTCGACGTTTTTGATGAGGGACCGCTATCTGTCAAGTACCAATACAGAGTTTTCTATTTAATTATGATACACTGAGAGCTCTAGCAAATGGATAGAAAATAAAAATAATGTGTCATTTCAAAGCTGGAGCGAATTTGGTGTCAAACATTTCTAACAATAAAAAATATTTTTTCTAAAATCTGCTTCCTTGACATGAACGACCTGGTCATTAAGGTTTGCCAAGCTAAGATAAAGGTCGTGGGTGAAGATGTGTGGTTTTGTGCATCTTTTAATGTTCTGTTTTTATACCCTTGCAAAGGGTATTATAATTTTGGTCAAAAGGGTGCAACGCAGTGAAGGAGACATCTCCGACCCTATAAAGTATATATATTCTTGATCAGGATCACCTCCTGAGTTGATATAGCCATGTCCGTCTGTCCGTCTGTCTGTCTGTTTCTACGCAAACTAGTCTCTCAGTTTTAAAGCTATTGAAACTTTGCACACACCCTTCTTTCCTTTGCACGCAGTATATATGTCGGAACGGCCGGGATCGGCCGACTATATCCTATAGCTGCCATATAACTGATTGATCGGAAATGCCATAACTTTGGTGTTTGTAAAGTTAGGAAGTTGGAATTTTCTATGGGTTTTATTTTTAGCAAATCAATCCGACCTACCAAATTTCATAAGGATCGGCCACTATATCCTATAGCTGCCATATAACTGAACGATTGGAAATGCCATAACTTTGGTGTTTTTAAAGTTAGGAAGTTGGGATTTTTTATGAGTATTAAGAATGCATCATATGAATAATTTTGGAGAATATAATTTACAGAGTATTCTGCAAGGGTATATCAACTTCGGCTCCGCCCGAAGTTAGCTTTCCTTTCTTGTTTAGGAATAAAAAAGTTTACTTATTATAAATATATACAACTTTCGAATATTATATTTGTTTTTTTTTATTGTACAAATTTCAATAATTCAAAATGCAATAAATATTATTTTAAATAATATTATAATATTATTTAATGTAAATATAATATTATAAATAAATATAAAAGGACATATCTCGTACACAACTAAAATAACATTTTTTTTAAATATAAATCCATTTTAATTTCTATTATGTAAATAAGTTAAGTTTCACTGAAATTATAATAACCTCTGCAAGGGTATACCAACAAAGTTATAATTTTTTTAATTTTTTGTTTTCCGATTGTTTCTATGGGATCTATATGACCCAGTTTCCCGATTTTCGTTCCGACATATATACTACCTGCAATAGAAAGACGACTTTTGGGAAAGTTTCAAGCAGATAGGTTTAAAACTGAAAGACGAGTTTTCGTAGAAAAGGACGGACGGACGGACAGACGGACAGGAGGACAGACGGACGGACAGACGGACATGGCTAGATCGACTCTCAAGAATATATATACTTTATAGGGTCGGCAATGTCTCCTTCACTGCGTTGCAAACTTTTGACTCAAATTATAATAACCTCTGCAACGGTATAAAAACAGGAAAAAATGTGTCTGTTAATCTAAAAAAGCGGACCTTATTGACTTTATTGAACTTCAGTTCTTAATAATTTCTAAAATAACTGTTCGATTAAAAAAAACTTTTTTTGTGCTGTTAACTGTGATCAAATTGTAACTGCTCAAAAACTTGTTTTTCCATTTCTGTACAGAATTTTTAATTTTTTTTTGGCGTGGCTCACTTTTGAAATAAAATTTCGCTTTGTGGGCATAACTCTAATCTAAATGCTCAATCCCAAATCTTATGTTTGTATATTTCGCTATCACACTTCATACAGGACAGGCAGATGAACATGGCCTTGTGCACTAGGCTATTGATCCTGATGCAGAATATAAACATACTTTATAGAGTAGATAACGCTTCCTCTTACCAGTTACGTACAGTTCATTCACAAGTTTAAGATAAAATCATTTTTATAAGCAAACAAGAGAGAACGCTATAGTCGAGTGCCTCGACCATTAGATATCCGTTACTCAGCTAAACAACTTAAGATAAATATGCCTTCTTGTATGTTTTTCGCCGCTCGAATTAGCACCTTGGCCGACTGTTCCAAAGTCATCCGTTAGATGGCGCCATGAAAGGCGGAAATGTAGGCGCTAGCCAGGCTTAAGCGTTTAATGGGTTTTTGGGCGTTAGAGTGGGCGTGGCAAACTTTTATTAGGCCAATCGATAGATATTGACGAAACAAATACATATTAATTAAAATTTTCATAATAGCATCAAAACTGTGGCCACAGCTTGTGGCTTGTGGGCGTCAGAGGGGGCGTGGCACCATTTTGAAACAAACTTTTGCACAAATACAATATACCCTTTTACTCTACGAGTAACGGGTATAAAAACCTAGTCTCGAACCGTGGATAGACATTTCCTCAGTCACTAAACAACGATCCTTTTATTTTCCTAATTTTCACTTACTTGGGTCCAAAGCGCCGCTTGCATTGCATCATCAGCTCTAGTCGAGGAAGAACTTCGGTGTACGTGATCTTCTCCTTTAGGTACACTTCTAGATCCTCAATAAACTCCACTGAATCTTGACGAGGAATGCTCTTCACAATAAACACCATCTGCTGCTCCGGATGGTCGGGACGCTTGAACGATACTTTCGCTCGATATATTTGACTGCAATAGTTTTCCCCAGTGCTGCTGCCCATTCGAATATGTATGGCCAGCAATTGGACTCTTGCGGTTCGCAGTGCTGTCTCAAGCACTTCCTCAAAAAAGGCCACGTTCAGGTGACTGGGTGGAACAACCACCTCTGCATCAAACACAATGCTACACATTTCGCTATCGTCTGAAAAGTAGCAAGGGAGCGGTACTCACTTTATAAGCGTGACTGGTGCTGAATATGATCTTGCTTACTTGAGAAAAACGCCGAAAATAAATATAGTCATTTAGTTATGGTAATATTGAATTGTACTATTATTAACTTTGTGGGTATATACTTTTTTAATAGACGACAGCGAGTTGTCTAATTTTTTGAATAAAGCACGCAATACACGGAGACGTCGATTTTTGAGGCGTATTCAGCTAGTAAGTCATATTTCATGTATTTGCGATGCAGAGTCTGTTAGTTTGCTTCTTTTTTGTTGGATAGATTCAACTCGCAACGATTGACAGCTAATTATCTTATCAAGTTTTAATCCGCCTCTCGACGTTTTTGATGAGGGACCGCTATCTGTCAAGTACCAATACAGAGTTTTCTATTTAATTATGATACACTGAGAGCTCTAGCAAATGGATAGAAAATAAAAATAATGTGTCATTTCAAAGCTGGAGCGAATTTGGTGTCAAACATTTCTAACAATAAAAAATATTTTTTTCTAAAATCTGCTTCCTTGACATGAACGACCTGGTCATTAAGGTTTGCCAAGCTAAGATAAAGGTCGTGGGTGAAGATGTGTGGTTTTGTGCATCTTTTAATGTTCTGTTTTTATACCCTTGCAAAGGGTATTATAATTTTGGTCAAAAGGGTGCAACGCAGTGAAGGAGACATCTCCGACCCTATAAAGTATATATATTCTTGATCAGGATCACCTCCTGAGTTGATATAGCCATGTCCGTCTGTCCGTCTGTCTGTCTGTTTCTACGCAAACTAGTCTCTCAGTTTTAAAGCTATTGAAACTTTGCACACACCCTTCTTTCCTTTGCACGCAGTATATATGTCGGAACGGCCGGGATCGGCCGACTATATCCTATAGCTGCCATATAACTGATTGATCGGAAATGCCATAACTTTGGTGTTTGTAAAGTTAGGAAGTTGGAATTTTCTATGGGTTTTATTTTTAGCAAATCAATCCGACCTACCAAATTTCATAAGGATCGGCCACTATATCCTATAGCTGCCATATAACTGAACGATTGGAAATGCCATAACTTTGGTGTTTTTAAAGTTAGGAAGTTGGGATTTTTTATGAGTATTAAGAATGCATCATATGAATAATTTTGGAGAATATAATTTACAGAGTATTCTGCAAGGGTATATCAACTTCGGCTCCGCCCGAAGTTAGCTTCCCTTTCTTGTTTAGGAATAAAAAAGTTTACTTATTATAAATATATACAACTTTCGAATATTATATTTGTTTTTTTTTATTGTACAAATTTCAATAATTCAAAATGCAATAAATATTATTTTAAATAATATTATAATATTATTTAATGTAAATATAATATTATAAATAAATATAAAAGGACATATCTCGTACACAACTAAAATAACATTTTTTTTAAATATAAATCCATTTTAATTTCTATTATGTAAATAAGTTAAGTTTCACTGAAATTATAATAACCTCTGCAAGGGTATACCAACAAAGTTATAATTTTTTTAATTTTTTGTTTTCCGATTGTTTCTATGGGATCTATATGACCCAGTTTCCCGATTTTCGTTCCGACATATATACTACCTGCAATAGAAAGACGACTTTTGGGAAAGTTTCAAGCAGATAGGTTTAAAACTGAAAGACGAGTTTTCGTAGAAAAGGACGGACGGACGGACAGACGGACAGGAGGACAGACGGACGGACAGACGGACATGGCTAGATCGACTCTCAAGAATATATATACTTTATAGGGTCGGCAATGTCTCCTTCACTGCGTTGCAAACTTTTGACTCAAATTATAATAACCTCTGCAACGGTATAAAAACAGGAAAAAATGTGTCTGTTAATCTAAAAAAGCGGACCTTATTGACTTTATTGAACTTCAGTTCTTAATAATTTCTAAAATAACTGTTCGATTAAAAAAACTTTTTTTGTGCTGTTAACTGTGATCAAATTGTAACTGCTCAAAAACTTGTTTTTCCATTTCTGTACAGAATTTTTAATTTTTTTTTGGCGTGGCTCACTTTTGAAATAAAATTTCGCTTTGTGGGCATAACTCTAATCTAAATGCTCAATCCCAAATCTTATGTTTGTATATTTCGCTATCACACTTCATACAGGACAGGCAGATGAACATGGCCTTGTGCACTAGGCTATTGATCCTGATCGAGAATATAAACATACTCTATAGAGTAGATAACGCTTCCTCTTACCTGTTACGTACAGTTCTGACCAAATTTATAATTACCTCTGCAAGAGTATACAAATTAATTGTTTTGTAATTATACATAAAAAAAGATTAGCTATACGTAATCAATTTCATTTTTAAATAGCAGTTGTAGTATGTAGTTGTCTGATTGGCAACGACTTTTACCCGGAGCAAGGTATACATAAATAAATTAGATAATTTGCATAATTTCATGTCAATAGCTTTTATACTGCGAATATGTTAAATACAAATAGGAAAAAAGGTATATTTTCGAGGCCTTTAACCATTTTTCCTACTGAAGCTATAAGATAAAGACGTCCGATCGGTAAGCGCTTTTATCCTGATCAAGATATGCGTAAATAAATAAGACTTGGAAAAATGTATGTCAATAGCTTATACACTACGCGAAATATTCTGAAAAACATCAAATTTTGACCGATTTCACCCTATTGTTCCTATGGGAGCTAAAATATATATATGTAGTCGTACGATCAGTACGCGCTTTTACATTGATCAAGGTATGCACAAAAAATACGATTTGGAAAGATTCATGTCGATAGCTTTTAGACTGCGCGAAATATCATCAATTCTTGCAAGATATATCCGATTGTTCCTATGGGAGCTATAGGATATAGACATCCGATCGGGGCGATTTTCAAACTTGATCTGCGTACACATGTTTTAGGACGACTGTTAAAATTTTTAGATCGCTAGCTTTTAAACTTAGCTCGCAAACGGTATTGAAACAGACGGAAAGACGGACATGGCTATATCGACTCCCCTATTGATCCTGATCAAGAATATATATACTTTATGGGGTCGGAAACGTCTCCTTCACTGCGCTAAAACTTCTGACCAAAATTATAGTACCCTCGGCAAGGGTATAAAACTGTATTATGCAAACGAAAAGGAAGGCTTTTGCAAAGCCAAAAAAAAAAATTAACCCTGACGAGGACGGAAGCTATCTTCGAAAACCGAAGTTTTAATACCCTTGCAGACTTTGCCAAAATTGCTAAAACTGAAACAGTAGCGAAAGGAATAAGGTATACATAAATAAACTAGATTTGCATCGTTTGATGTCAATTGCTTTTATACTGCAAAAATGTCATATAAAAATAGAAAAAAAGGGATACTTTAACAATTTTTCCTACGGAAGCTATAGATATAGACGTCCTAAAATCTACATGCAAAATGCCAATCTTCTAGCTTTTATAGTTTCCGAGATCTCAGCGTTCATACGGACAAACAGACAGACAGACGGACATGGCTAGATCGACTAGGCTAGTGATCCTGAACAAGAATATATATACTTTATAGGGTCGGAAACGCTTCCTTCTACCTGTTACATACTTTTGCACGAATACAATATACCCTTTTACTCTACGAGTAACGGGTATAAATAGATGGTTTGGAAGAAAAGTTAGCTACAGACGCAAACATAGTAGAGGACTATAAAATTCAAGAAGTTGACCCAAATATAAAATGTGAAACCACTCTTGAAGTAATCAAATCATTACCGAAGTTCACCGGGGAACCAACACATAACGTAGGTTGGAGAGAAGCTGCAGAAACTGCAATGAGCCTTTATAGGGCAGTATTTTATCGCGTTAACAATTTTACGAAATAAAATCATGGGATCAGCCCACGACGCTCTTACCAATCATGGCACTGTTCTAAATTTTCAAGGAATTTTATCTAGATTGGATTTTATATACAGTGATAAACGACCAATCCATATTCTTGAGTCCGAATTAAGTATCCTTAGACAAGGTAGAATGACAGTTACTGAATACTATAATGAAGTTAATAAAAAAAATGACTTTACTAATAAACAAAACTATAATGACATACGGAAAAGATAACGTAATTACCAAAGAAACAAACAAAACAATAAGGAGCAATGCTCTACAAATTTTTATCTCTGGATTAAATGGTCCGATAGCAGAAACCCTTTTCTCATTAAATCCACCGGACTTGCCCAATGCGTTGGCAAAGGTCCAGGAATTAGAGTCAAACAATTTTCGAGCTCAATTTGCAAACAGATACTATGGCTTTAAAAATGAAAATAAAAATCAGGGAAATAATTTAAGATTTAATTCTAAACAAAACACTAATACTAAAGGGAACGGAAATAATTGGAATTATAATCAAAATAATAATTGGCCACAGAATAAGAATTTTTGGCAAAATAATAATCAGAATACCAATCAAAAAGAACAACCTGTCGAGCCAATGGATGTAGATTCATCGCTCCAATTTCAAAATAAGCCCAGAAATAATTGGCAGTCAAATAATAATCGAGGTAGATAATAATAATTATTATCAAAACAATAATCGCACAAACTATTATCGTCCAAATCAAAACAAAGAGCAAACTAAAGCTCAAAAAAGGGAACTAGAAGGAACAGTTAATCATTAAATAATATCAATGAAGATCATTTTTTAGATCAGACCCCTACAGGGGAATGCCTTATCTAAAAAGAGTGGACAGAAAAACTAAGAAAGAGTTAAATATTTTAATAGACACGGAAGCTACGGCTTGCTCTATAAAGAAGGGAATTTTTGAGAATAAAAATGAATTATCAATTTACAAAAAAGTATCTACAGTTCATGGGTATTCAATTATTAAATATTACCATTATATAAATATATTTGGAACAAGACATTTGAAATAGAAGGATTGGAATCTGACCTATTAATTGGGTTTAATTTATTAAGAAAAATCGGAGCAATTATAAATATTAAAAAGAGAGTGTTGGAGTATAAAGGAAATACAGAAAAGTTATTATATTACGATAGTGAGGAAAAAAATGAAACAAGTTTAATGGAAGTCAATAATACTCTTCCATTAAAAGAATTTATTTAAAAAAATATTTTGATTTATAAGTTTTGAAAACACAGATTCTATATTTGTGGAAAGAAGCGAGAAAAGCTTGGGATCAACAAATCCTGAAAGCGCCGACGATGAAATTTCCGTCAACAAAAAATTAAATAGTTTGGGATCAACAAATCCTGAGCACGCCGACGATGTAGTTTCCGTCAACAAAAAAATT